GAAAGAATATAAACATAAGTTTATATGTGCTAAAACTTTTGGATAATTTTAGTAAATTTTATTGCAATGAATAGGTGATGGCTACGTCTGGATATACCTGTATTATGTTTATAATCAAGGTATTCATAAGGATTATTCGTTAAAGAACTAGGCTATTATATATTTCTTACTTTAATTTACACATCACTAGCACGTCCATTCCTTCAAACTGATTCCTGTAATACTTAGTTACGCAACTTCGAAAGCCAATGTAGTGAGAAGGTAATCTTTTTCTTCAAATTTGTTTTTGTTTTCGAAGGAGTTAATAAACTAAATTAATAAGGTCTCATAATTCTAATATTTCTTCATTGGATCCTGTTGCAGCTATACTTTCGAATTTATGAATATAATTTTGCACACTTGGCCTACGCAAGCCCTAGAAAAGTAAAGTTGACTCTACTGCTTATTCTCAGTTACTAAACTATAATGTCAAACCTTAAATACTGAATTCCAAATTTATTTTCAGGCAGGCTGAAGCATTAGAAAAGACAGTTAAGGCCGGATTAAGTGATGCAAATGCAAGTGCTAGGGCTAGCGCGAGAAGGTTATTACCTAATATTAATAGTAATCTTTTACGCCTAAACAATCATTATTGATGCTATTATGCCAAATAACGACCGATATCAAAGCTATGCTTGCTACTATTTTCACATTTCTAGATCTTTTTGGGGTTTCGCCAATCATTTTAAAAGCAGAGCTGACAAGTAGGTGTTTATATAAAAATCAAGTAAATCTCTATAAAATTACGCTTTCAGTGTTGTACATAATTTAACTTCCTGCCCCTAGAATGATGCTTACGCTGGATAGCTCTAAACAAAAGCAGCTGATTGCAGAGAACGATGCATATGGCAGTACTAACAGCTTAACTGATACTAGTGACGGTACCCAGAAATTAAAAGCAGCTGCCTTGTGAGTCAACCTATACTAGTATTTTACTGATTGTTTATCCGATAGATATTTAGAATTATACCTTGAATCATTTATTGATTTTTAGTGAAAGAAGTTCGAATGCCAGGCGCTCGTTTGTGAAACCGAAAACGAATTTGTTAAGTACTTACCGAGATAGTGAACCTGGTAAGTCATAAATAATTTTCAATATATTGAAGCAAAAGTAACTTAGATTCCTGCTTAATTAAAGATGTTAGAGGGCGAAGCAATGGCGATGGCAAGATAAACGCGCGAAGTTCACTAAGAATGAAAAGTAGTACGACTAGCAGAGCTTCTCCTGCTGGAAATACGACTAAGAGAATACCACGTGCTTCTCAATCGCAACGTAATATATAAAATAAAATTTATTTGTATAGTACACTTTTTTATTTAATCCGTGCAAAATGATCTATTGATTATACGATACATTAAATAACAGCTGGTAGTCGTTCCAATTCGCCACCGCGATTAAGTAAACTTTCATCTACTGCAAAAACTCCTACACGAAAAGTACATACACCGACCGTAGATATTACTAAATCGAAGGCTCTACGCCCACCAGCTCCGCCGAAAGTGAAGGAGCCAGTAAAAACAACAAGTAAGAATGACTCAGATAAAACCTCGGTTTGTTATTCGGTATCGTATATACTTGTGTATTTATTCATATTATACCGTTTGGTAGACCTTAAAACATTAACACGTAATACGGAAGTGGAAACTCACGTATGGAATGCTCTGGTAAGAAGATATATAGTCGGGTATAAAAATTTATATTTGCGCATTCTCAAAATATAAACATAAAGCGAATTAATGATTTTAGACTCAAAGGAAAAGCGATACTTCAGCGGATTTCGAATCCGATGCTGGTAGTATGACATCTGAAAGCTCTGTAAGAAGTAACTTCACCTCCCTAAAGGTAACATCACACTGGAAGAGTTACAGTACGGACCATAACGAACAATAGCAATTTTAGAGGCGCTTACGTTGAAAGGTACTAAATTATATATTGCTTACTGATGTAGGAAACTGAAATTGGCCTGACTAAATGTAAAAGTTCGTCGTGGTCTGAACGAATGGAAGGACTTGAAGAATTTATGGGATTGCTAGTTGGGGAACATAAACTGAGGTAAAAGATATTTTTTACAGTTCTCGTTATACTAGATTGTAGACTATTAAATCAAGTGTATATTGAATGCAAAATTGCTGAAAGAATAATTCTTGCTTTGCATAAATACAAACTCGAGCTTAATGATGGCGCTTTCTTCTATATCTGAATGAAATCAAATAACAGTGATTGTTTGATAGTTTACACTCTTGTCATGTTGATACTGAAGATTTATCCAGCCCTGAGTGCAAATAAAGTTAGCCCTTAAATGCATCTGCTACCTTAGGGCTGAGTTTATCTGAAATTTGATGAAGATGTTAGCCATTCATGAGAAAAGCAGTCTGTTGAACACTAGTTATTACAAAGTGTACATGTGGTTCCATCTACTTACTTACCCTGAACCAACAGCTACATTCGCTACTATATTTACTGTAGATTTGTAATACACCTGGTTATAGTAACTGTTCCTTCAAAGTTAATATGTGTCTATACTATCATGTTTGTAAGCTTACGATGTTAACTAATGACACATCACTGTTAATGCAGCTACAAAGATATCAACCGTATCAAGGAGTGCCTTACTCAAATGTTAGACGAGAAACATATGCAAGTATGCTACTGGATATTTTATATAAGACAAAAAAAATTAAAAAATGGTATAATACATATTATTAACTCTATACCAAATAGGTTTATAACAAGTTTTTGAACACAATTTGTGAATTTGTTACCACATATCATAATAAATTGCAAGACTGGTTCTTTACTATATTTACCAAATTGCTGCTAAGAGTAAGCAGTGACATGCCACCACCAGTTTACTCTAAGTTGATCGATGCTTTGGATACCATTCGGTTCGTAAGTTGTAATATGTGCTATAGACGTGGAATATGTGCCATAATAACCTTGACTTCATTTTTAGACGAACCTTTTCCTATGACATCCAATTCATAGCCCTTGTTAAATTTATATCTGAGAATGGAGATCATATCAATATAAAAGTTTGTAAAATGTTACGTACTCACGTTGTTAGCAGTATAGGCTTGTGGCTGTTTATCTACATATCGTTTTTCTGTAATTAATGCGTAGGTAAAATTGGCTTTCCTTAATTTTGCTCGAGAAGTCGCGGAATTAATGGACCCATCTGTATTTGTGAATAGTGTTGGTAAGGATGCATACTTTTGTTATACTCGTTTTTGCAACGATAAGTTAGAATTATTGATATTTACTGGACTTCATAGATAATCGACGTGCAATGTCTCGTATCATAACATGGAGCACCGATCCAAAAAACGTAGCTCTAAGAAAGGTCGTTTCTTTGACTTTCATCGTTTTTTATGCATCTTGTATATCTTACTAAGACGTTTAATCTATTATGCTATCAATACACTAGGCGGCCAATATTGTCATTATAGCTATATTTGAATTAAATAAATCCGAATTTTCTGCTTTGTTATCCAATTTACCGAAATCTTTCCAGGTAATGATATCTACCGACAATTATGATAATGTTACGAAGTTTCTACTTACCCCATTACATTAAAAATCGAGGAATAAAAACCATATCATACCATTTCATTTTATATTCGTAATTTAACCATATTATAATTTATAATAATAGGATATCGCAAGTAGCATGCTACAACAATATCTTGACAGTGGTTGCATGGAAGTTCCTGAAGTAATGATTTATTAAATCCAAGCTTGAAATCTTGTTTTATATAAAGTTCTTAATTAAGAATATATTTGCTTAGTCACCTAGAGCCAGTAGTAAAGTAAGAAGCAGCCCAAGAGGGATGGAAAAAAATATGCCTGGCAAGGATATCTATTCACCTGTAAACACGAATACAACAAAACCACTTATGGCTAGAAAGAATTCAATGGAAGGTAGTCGCCTGCTGTCTTAAATTTTCACAACGACTGTAGTTTTCCTTTATGTAGTTCTTTATATCGTATATGTAATGACATAGTAAACTCATGAAAACCTACAACGATTTTATACAATCATGTCAGTCAAGTATTGAACTTGAAGGTAAATGATGATTCAGCAAAAGTTTATAATGTTTTAGATCATTACAAGCAAGACAATGAATATAATCCAATTTACTATCAGGACGAGAATGAACCTCCATCACCAGTTAGTAATCATGTAGGTGTTTTATAATCCTTTCTAAGTTATTGCTCATTTCAGCTGATATGAACTGATCAATTAAAATATTATATTGGGTAACAGATGCCTAAGCAGCCTAGCCGGCGATCAGAAAGCATCGGTAAGAGTCCATTTTTCATAGCCAATTATGAGGAATTGCTATTTTAAAACTTTATAATGAGTTGACGGAATAAATGATGATGTTTGTTACTCCGATTTGTTAGATCTTATATCAAAGTTAGCCGCTGCCTTACCAACACAATTGCAAAGGTACTAGTATCGCTTGAGTAAGATGCTGTTAGTTACAGTATGTCATTGTAACATGTTATACAAAAAGTAATGATTAATGACGTTGCTACGCAGTTTGGACGAAGTCACAATTACCCTTAAGAATCTACTGCAATTGATAAGTGAAGATGTAACTCTATCTCATTGGGATAAACATTTAAAAGGCTTGGTCTCGAATTTGTTTCAGCTTATTACAACCTACCCTACTGAGGTAAATCATCTTAGCGTATTCCTCGTAAATAAAACGATTTTAAAACTATTTCTGAAATTGCTTTCTATGCATGTAAACAATCTAGACTTCGATCAAAGTACTGTCTTTTCGAATTATGAAATATCTATTCGACCTGCAGTTTTCAAAGTTAACGGATTTAGCGAATGAAATAATAAATAATTTTATTGCATTCGAAGTCACTAATGACGATAGAGAGGTAAATATGATATAATAACTTTAACGAAATGATGATGAATTAATGGATTAAAATGCCCCTATAGGTTTCTCGGATTTCTGAAGAAGCACTCTTTGCGTACGCTGCCGCCGTCCCTGGAGAAGTAATACTTCCAGTCTTAGTTCCTATTATTGAAAAATTTAAGTATCCAAGCAATTTGTCTGGTTTGAAATTATTGAATAAGGTGAGTTTTGTATCATGACCAATTCAAAGAATTTATTCAAATGAAATTAATAAAAAATTTATTTGTGATTGCTACGTATTATTGCTACAGATATTAGATGAAATTCAAAAAGAAGACATCATTCCTAGTTTAGACTATTTAATGCCCGCATTGGTTAAGGTATCTATTGTCAATTTATAGCATAGCGAATAAAAAGTACAATTCTTTCCATTTAACTTAATACTTGCAATTATCTTTTATTTGCCAGTCTTTTCAACATAATGAAAGCAGCGTTAGGAAAGCTTGTGTTTTCTGTCTGGTTGCACTACATAAAATAATTGGAGAAGATCTAAAGAATTACCTGACTGGATTAACGGGATCACAGGTAGATGTAATGATATATTAATGAAATATCGCTATCCATGTAAAAGATTTTATAAATTTAAGCTATAACACATAATGTTACGCTGAATGCTAACTTAAAGACATTACTATTGCATTTACAGATAAAGCTATTACATCTCTACATCAAGCGATCTGTATCTCAAGCGACTACTGCTGCAAATTTCACCGGTCGATAAATTAATTAATTTTACTACTACTATACAATTGTAGTCGTATATGAAGCAATTGTCCGTTACAGTGTCAAATGCATCCCTCAATTTAATGGCATGTAATGTTTAATGCTATGGAAAGTAATTATTTTAGAAAAAAACTTAAATATTAATGCAATGTTTTATGGCGTCACTCTGTTCTATATTACGGAAGGTATAAAAAATATTTTGTGGTAGAATGCTATTCAAATTCTTTTATTTTGCTTTACGAAAATGAATCGAAATTTTAGTATTATATGTACATAAGCTCTAATATTGATGCAGTTTGTTGCATGTTACAAAACATGTAGCTGTAGCGTTCGCAGTATTATTACTTATACAGTATATATATATATATACATTGGCAAGTACCAGCTTGTAATGCCTGATTAATAATACTGTACTACTTTATTATTACCCATATTATTACCTAGCATAATCATAAATAATACATGAAATCAACTAAATAAAATGAATTACGCAGGACCAGATCAATTACAAAAATGTATTATTACGAATTTAATGAACTAGAAATAGTTAGCCTACAGAAATTTTTATTAATTATAATATTGCTTTTGACATTGATTATTATGTAATTTAATGATTTGTTTTTACCCCTTCACGTTAATAAATTATTTATAACCGCAAAGGAAGCACATTTTGGGGATAAAACTCATGACTACAATTATGTAATTATTCGTCTCTATAATAGTGTTTGCTAAGTGCTATAGCATTAATAGCTTATTAATCATTCGATAGCGATCTTGATCGTAAATATTCACGATATGGATCAATTAATCTTTTTTAATAGAAATAGCTACAATTACGAAGTAACGAGTGTTGCTAACACTGCATTGGCTTCTAGATCATAAAATGAAGCTTTTTCGGCTTTTTGCTTTGCGCCTCGGACGAAGCGTTTAAAACTTTGAATAACTCTCTGCCTATAGCAACCAATTTACCTCTTAACGTCTCATCTAATCCCCAGTCTGTTACTACTTGCAATTCACCTCTAGCTTTCAATTGGACAGGAAATGAGAAAGCAATTCCGTACGGAATACCATACCAACCTTCAGAAATGATCGACATTGATGTTATTATGTCGTCGTTTTTTCCGTGCCAAAAATCGGATAATTGTTCAATAATAGAATTAGCAATTGAAATAGACGTCTCTCCTGGGCGTAGTTTAGTAATTTCTTCGTGTCTATCTTTGACAGTAGCTTGAAATGTCCCGTTTATCCACTTATTATCATGAACTAATTCCACAACCGATCTTGAATAATCTGCTGGTCCCATTATTGCACTGTCGCAGTCATATACATGTGATTTGGAAACATCTATAACTTGATTTATTTGTGGATTTCCCCATACAATAACATTGTTAATTTTTGATGAATTAACTTTCAAGCGATTGCTGAGAACAGATTTTGCCCGATTTTCCTGTAATCTGGATGACAACGCAATAAATTTACGCTTAGGTACCTTAGGGGCATATTTACTTAAAACTGATGCCTGATAATTAGCGGCTTCACCGCCAATAAATATAATTCCATCTTTGTCTATGCCCTCTTCTATAACTGGACCGTAGTCTTGATAAATTGCTCTATTCGCATTAATGATGGTTTGCTTATCTTCATCAGAAGCATCAATAGGAATGGAGCTTCCATCAGTTAAAATAACTACTTGAGCATCTTTCACTCCAACGTCTAACTGGCCTGTAGCTGTTATCTTTCTCAGTAGAGGCCCAGCTAAATCTTCTAGTTCCATGACAAGTCCATGCAGTTTTTCTAAATTCTCACCTGAATCAACTAAACGCAAATCTAATTCTTCGTTCTTTCCGAAAGCATCACCATTAGCAAGGCTAAGGACGATATTGTAAACTAAAGAACTGCTCGCATTAGTTATGCATACTCTTAAAGGCCAACTTTTAACTATTTTAGCTTCTGCCAGATCTTTAGCTAAAGTTTCCATGTTTTCATCAGCGACAACAGTTAATTCTTCACTCATCATGCTTGACGAGAAGTGATAATAACCTGAAAAAGGAAGAAAAAATTCAAGTTAAAACTACACATGGTAATCCTATCAAAACGATAAGGAAAAGGTTTCAATGTTATGCATTGGTAACCCTCTTATTAAATATCTATACACTCGTATCGTAGTGCAAGCTGACAATTAACTGTAATGCAACTACTATAGCCATTTCATTTAATGGAAGCCTTGGCAATATCATTGATCTAATTACTGATGTATCCTAGTCATCCAAATGTAAAACGATCGGAACTTACTTTCAACATATTCTAGAAAATCATTACAATCGCCAATAAGTTTGCCGGCGCCACCACGTTCAACTAACTCTCGCCACACTATAGGTGAGGTATCATGCTCAAATCCCATACCTAAACAAGTCTGTCTTAGCCAAGCTTCCCATTCGGACGGATGTTTCGAAATTTTGTGTACCTTAAAATTGGGCAAATTCATGGCTAACTCATCGGCTAATAACTCTGCTTTGGCATAAAAGGGGCAATTTGATCTTCCTGCAATGACGATTAGTACCATGGCTAATTCTTGGTAATGGATAAAGTCAGTTTTATGTTAATAAACAAATTATTATTAATTCTTTGCACGACTGTTTGAGTCTTGATTCAACTTGGATGCTATTAGTCCACTTCTATGATTCCAATTTAGAAAATAATGGCTAAAATTGGCTCTCCTACAGCAATTCAATTCAAACGAATCGGTTCTATTACATTTACTTCTAGCGTTTATACTCCTATCGTTGGAGGATTGAGTACAGTAACGTCTCTCTGTAGGTTTCTATATGATTATATAATATAATTTATTAAACGATAACAGCAATCTCGGAATCGACAACTTCTGTTGCCTAGATACACGACGCACACTGACCATGATTGGACGAATACAGACGTCAAGACGCGCAGACAGTGGCCGACGAGTTCGTTTGCGTACAGTACGGTACCGAGTACTGTAACGAGTGTGTAAAATATATGTCGTAGTAGGGCTTGATTTTATACCGTAAAAAATGCCCAACTTACGACATCTACTTTCTATCTGATGATTGTAGACTAGCGTACTAATTGCCCATACTGACTCTGTTCTAAAGCAAGCACTACAGTCCAGGAAAAATGTGTAAAACTTATGTCGCATGAAGTCACTTAATGTCTTGTTCTTTACTTTAAATTATAGCTTCGGCCCATGACATTTATTTTGTGCGTTGCCGCATTGCTGTACGGTGGCAGCAAGTCCCCAATGCACACTACGGTCTTGCCTACTTGAGCACGGGAAGGAGTCCAACAATGGCTTTACTATGCGCTCGCAGACTAGTTTACAACGTAACCTAATGACGGCAATGCCATCAATCCTCCTAACGTTTGGTGGACTGCTGGCATTTTCCTCATTTCGAGCTGAAAGAATCTCCCGACATTGAACTGATGAGAGCTTAGTAATGGAAGATGGCAAAGATCACTCAGAGCATGATAGTGCTGCAAGTATTGCTGTTGATGGTCTTAGTTTAGACCCAAAGCAACAGAAAGAATTTGAGAAAAAGCTCAAAAAATTGCCAACTAAGGTTAGCTATTTCGATCATGGAGGAGGTAGAGTTGTTCGGTTGATGCAGCTACTGCACAACTGCAACTCGTTTTATAGGAGATGCTCAAGAGGTTATTGCAGTATATTGTTGAGTTATAGTAAGGTTAAGCTCAGAAGAATCTTCATGAGCACCATCACTTTCTGATAATATACCTGATATCATGTAAAAGTTGGAAGTAATGACAGTTGATTCTAAGGTCATGTAGAATACTGCCCAGTACGGCCACCATGGAGCTCGCTAGTAAAGCACATGCTGCTGTAGTTGTTGACGATCAAGGAAGGAACTAATTAAACTAATTGTTGTAATGTTGGTAATATTCAAGATGCTTAATCTATCACAATCTTAATCAGCACGATCACTTTCTTAATTTACTTCATATCATGTGAAAGTTAGAAATAGTGAAGGTTGTTGATTCTAGTGTAATGCAGAATACTAATGTAAATGAGTACGATCACTTTCTTATTAATATACCTGATATCATGTAAAAATTACAAGTAGCAAGGGTTGATGCTATGATAATGTAGAATACTGATCTTAATGAGCACGATCACTTTCTTGAAATGTACCTGATATCATGTAAAAGTTTCAAGTAGTGGCAATTGACTCTATGGCAATGTAGAATACTACCCAGCACGGCCGCTATGGAGCTCGCTAGTAACGCACATGCAGCTGTAGTTCTTGACGACCAAGGAAGGAACTAATTGTTGTAGTGTTGGTAATATTCAAGTTACTTAATCTATCACTATCTTCATCAGCACGATCACTTTCTTAATCTACCTAATATCAAAGTTAGAAGTAGTCAGGGTTGATTCTAGCACGGCTACTAGGGAGCTCGCTAGTAACGCACATGCAGCTTCAGCTCTTGACGACCAAGGAAGGAACTAATTAAACTAATTATTTTAATACTGGTAATAGTCATAATGCTTAATCTATCACGCTATGAATGTGCACGATTACTTTCTCGAAATATACCTGAGTGAGTTTAACTGACTTTGCAGGATTATGACCTGATATCATGTAAAAGTTAGAAGTAGTGAGAGTTGATTGTATGGTTATGTAGAATACCGCCCATCACGGCGACCCGTGGAGCTCGCTGGTAGAGCACGTACACAGTAACTGCAGTTCTTGACGACCACAGAACGGAACGAATGTTAGTAATATTCAAGATGCTTAATCTATCGTGAAATGATTCATTTACCTTCAGGTCGAGCTTAAAAGAGTTTTACCAACGTCTTCAAATTCTTCATGTACACTTGATACTTATGACATTTTTAGTTCAATAAGTAGGACACAATTACAGTTGATCTATGCTACCGGACATACCATAAGAGACCAACCATTGAAGAGATTGACTAGCCAGGAGCTGACTAGGATTCTATAAAATCCTTAGTAGTTATTATGTCGCCAATTTTATTGGATAGCCGAGCTCAGGAGAACCTCTATCAAAGTCTTCTACTTTCTTGAAATGCAGTTGATTTCACGTCTAAGTTATCAAAAGTCAATGATACTGAACTGTAAGAGGAGCTACCATTGAGGAGAGTGTCTAACAGTAAACTCGAAGTTCATACAGCTGCTGATGAGATTTTAATCAATACATATATAGTTAGAGTCTGTAGGATTCATGGTATGAAAGCATTTGATTGAATTAGTATTAAAGTTGCTCAGAATACCATTACTTATCGCAAGACTAAGCCCCGGACAATCATTATACGGTCTGTCAATACCCTACTAGAAATACTATACAGTATTGACATCCGATATCATATTTTGTACGCATAATTATATATATAAAAATTTCATTTATTAAATATTACACGATATCGTAAGAGTTAAACCGTAGGTATGAATTTGGTATTGAATTAGAAAGGTTCATAATGTTTGTGATCAATTCATAAAATAGGCAGATAATGTACAACCTGGTGTAATCTACGTTGGACACATTCCTCATGGATTTTATGAAGAGGAAATGAAAGGATTCTTTTCACAGTTTGGCGACATCAATAAAATTAGGCTATCACGCAGTAAAAGAAGCGGTCGATCGCGTGGTTATGCATTTATCGAATTTTCGAATCAAGATGTAGCTACAATTGTAGCGGAAACGATGAATAATTATATGATGTGTGGCAGATTATTAAAATGTGCGTACGAATGATGATCTACATGCTTAGGGCTATTCTGTATATTTCAAGTAGGACTAGTTAATAGCGAGCACTTCTTACTCGTGTAAATGAAATTTATAGGGAAAAAATTAACTGTTACGTTAGCATTTTTAAATCAAGCCTATAAACGTAACCGATATTGATCATATCTATAGGTCAATTAATGAAAAGCGAATCGGTTCACCCTGAAACTTTTAAAGGTGCTAACCGAAAATTTCGCAAAATTAACTGGAGAGAGTTAGCCAAGAAACAAGCGAATGCAGTAAGTAAATTTATTAAAGACAGAGGAATGACATTTTTCAATCAGTTAACCACGAAATAGTGATTATTGATTTTGATGGATAACTAACTACTAGTATTTTTACTGTATTATTTGTCTAAGGCTTTAATCTTGTCGTACTATCATTGACATTAATTAATTATTAATTCATTCATTCTGTCAAAATTATGAAGCCGAAAACAGATCAAGAGAACACCAAAGTAGTGAATAAGTTAATTAAAGCCGAAAATGTTCGTAGGAAAAAGTTACAAAAACTTGGAATAGACTACCAATTCCCTGGTTATGTAAGTAAATTGCTTTTTCGTGATAACTTTAACTGACAGTAATCTATAAATTGTCCACAACATAGCTCAAACGATATCCTCATATACATATTATAAATAATCAAGTTAACTGTACTTTAAAACCTTTCTCAATAAGTACTCAATCCCCGTCAATTGACCCTACCTAAAAAATTATTATCCAAGGATACTTTTAATCATCTAATGTCTCAATCATATTAATGCTTTCGCAAACAGGCTGCTGGACAAATGAAGACTGCTCAACATACCATCTTTGAAGACTCTTAGTTTAGACTGATCGTAAAATATAGCAGTAATGTTTTATCCTCACATTGTCATCATTATGCTTGTATTATACTAAGATTGTTCCTCCCTTATACAATGTTGCATAACGTTGAAATGTATGAAAGACACAATATAAAGATTTCTAAATGTGTTAATGTGGCATTATTTATAGAATAAATTTTAAATTGATACTTTATATTGGATATGCATGCTGTAATATGTACATCATAGTCTCAAATTGATTTATTTTCAAAGGAAAGGACTCCAGTCATAAAGTCGTGATAAATCTATCCACTACAGTGATGCCTACATGCCGAGAATAATTTGTGACACATTCAATATCATGGCACATTTTGGTGCAACATTCAATACTCGATATGCTGCGACACTTTAAAATAAAATGATTAACGAATCATCGATTTTTGTGGCATGAGATAACTCACTATTGTGCATATCTACTTCTTATATCAATAGTTTTATTCGGAATCGAAATTTTGAAATATACACTTAGGCAATGCTTGCGTATACACATAGAATTAAATGACTCTTACAGCTAAAGCAACACTTTTCTATCACCAACTTTTCGTACTTTTCCAGGCGATTCTGTCTTCATAAAACTTAATCACTAGCCAAGGAAATCTACTGTTTGCTTCTGAGGCAGGTAAAATCGTGATATGCTGGCAGTTTTTCCTACAAATGACGGCCATATTTAACGGAAAAGAATATGGATTAAACAAATATATAGATCTAAGTCATTGTTCAGTATTAACACAATTGCAGGATTTTTCTACTACTATTGTATTATTGTTATTTACCATTTAACAAGAAAACGTATTCGTCCTGTATCGTTATTGGCGGCTACAATTTCTTCTGCTTCTGCATCTGTATGCTGTAAGCAGCCATCAAATAGCACTTTCTTGTCAGGCTTCTTGGATTTTATCCGCATAAAGTTCTGCAAATTGCAACAAAATTAGCGAAGAAAATATTTTTCGATACTTTAGTGATTTACTGCCGTGTTAACGAAAAACTAGGGATCTAAGACGATGCGGATACTTTATCACCGTATAAAGTAGTAGTATAGGCTGTGCATAGCATCTGCTATACATCAGTGTAGAGCGCAGAGGAATGTCATAAAAATATAACATACAGTTAACGTAAGATCTACAATAACTTATAGTACGGAATAAAAATAATGTCAGTATTAGATTTGATATTACGAGAGCTAGATTTAAAATTTTGCAATATTCAATCCTATACAGCTTAAAATTAATTTAATGTGTTAAAGTGTCTTTGCCAAATCATTTAAATTAAAAAAACTGGTAATGTGAATTAGCGGCAATCAGCTTCTAAAAAAATCTGTATCGGCAAATTAAAGCTTAATTTCAGGAACGTACAGTATGGCAAGTGGATGGTAATGAGACATTCTTAACAATTTCGGGAAAAATCCTAAGTCGTAAATATTAGGAAATGCACAAGGTAATTGCAAATATTGGCTCAGGCAATTCTTACTACGGTATCTATAATTATTAGGTGGAGCCAAGATTAAAGAAAGTCTAAAACAACATGCCAAGCATAAAATATAATTTTACCTGTTGTTCGAGTTGTTGGTTACGTTGCATGCAGGTTAATGATTGTATATTCTCGTCAACACTAACAGTGAGATCCATCTTCATTGATTTTTTATCACCTGCAAAAAGCAAGAAAACATTCAATGTCGTGGCGTTAAAATAACCTTCAATTTTTATTCTTTAAATCCACTTTAAAGTGCTTCAATATCAAAAAAGACCGAATATTTCATTTGCGTTAAACATTATAAAAGTAGGATGACGAATAATTCCGATCTAGTAATCGTATGTTGCCCAGATGTGGTGATAATTCTGACCTTGGACTTCTTCAGACAAGTGTTTATACATTCGTTTTCTTTTTTTACCGAGGCTGAGTGAGGTGTGATACTCTTTAATGGCCTCTTGACAATTAACTAATCCATTCCTAGGTTCCCAAGTATTATCGCTATTTGGGAAACCACACCATTTCACCAAATAAAAAATTGTACCATTGACATCACGATGATCCATAATCTTTTCTACTTCGAATTCAGCTTCTTCACTCTCGCCTTCCATGATTGTCTTCAAGGATATTACAACTCACAACCAATAGTTACCAATAGTTAATTTTCTCTCCTTACCAATCACATTTAATTGGCTACAAAATCTGCATCGCAGGGCAATACTCGAATACGAAAAAGATTTCGGGCAAAGCTACAATCTACCATAACTTTAAACCTTCAGTTACTTTTTTAATAGTGATTTAATCAATGCGTCAATGGCTTGCATTCTACCTACGCAGACATAAATAGACATAAGAAATCAGCAACGGAGACTCCAAAAATAGTTCTGTTCGATCTGTTATTCCATGCAAAATACAGTGCTGCATATTTATATATTGTACAGGTGCAAAGTCCCTGGTTGGAAAATCGTAAATTACGATACAACTCTTACTAGCAATGTCGTTTATGATGACTTCAATATTAGAATACCATATTAAGCAAAAGATCATTATTTTCAAAATGGAATAAAATAATGCGTATATTAGAATATTAATAATAAACCCACGACATCGCCAATACTATATTAGGGAATTATAAAGTTAATGAACGTCCAAAGTATTAGTTGTATCAGCAAAAATACCAAACTCCAGTCTACTACCGCTACTGTCCTCGGTACTACAGTAAATCGTCCTTTGATTAATGATAATATTTGATTATTAATGCACCATACAATAAACGGTATTGCTAATGATAAAATGGAAAGATAACTTACAAATTACAGTACTTGTAAAATGCCTTTAGGACTCCACATTTAATGAATATCCATGATACAGTATGAAAGTAAAATTTATTGGAAGTATATAACCGAACACTAATAGTGCAAACCTATCACCATAAATAAACATCATGGAAACACCTATATTACCGTAGAGATTTAACTTTTTCGAAAATTAACTTTATTATTTTAAAATTCGATTAAAAATTCTATATATTTAATAATGCTAACTAAAAGTACCCTTCGATTCAAATTTTTACTTACCATATAATATCGTACCCAACTTAACTCTTCCCTCATGAATATGTGAAACTATCGTTAGGCCTTTCTTACATAATTAATTAATAACTAATACTTCATCTTAAAAAGACTGATAAGTTAGTGATCCCATTAAACCTACAGTACGTAAGTAAGATCTATTAAATACAAGTATCCCAGAGGTTTATGCCACCGTGGCATAGATATTATGTAATAAGGTGCTTGATATACAAATATACCTTCGATATATTGTAGATCTCGAAATTATAGTATTCTACCCTTACAGGCAAGTATCTTTCTACGATCGCCTGCATGCAGACCTAGTTTTCTCACATATTTCAAAAGTATATCTTTCATGTACCACTGTAACGTTTTAATCTATAATAACTTTTCATCAACAATAGGATACTACAGACTTGATTAAGTATTCCAACCAAAAGCGACAGAATAGGTGCCCAATGAAGCCTTTAGCTGGTAGCCACACCTATGTTTTGTACAGTATAAAGTCCCCATTGTAATCCCATGCATATTTAGCAATAAGATTGTCACACATCCACAATTACGACACCTATAATTAGCTGGTAACGAATGTCATGTATTGACTACAACGATTTATTGCTCGAATAAGTATAAATAAAAAATTAGATATTTACATGTACTGTACATGTTTGGACACGAGTGGATTTCAAACGTATCACGTTAGATTTTAGTTAAATAAAGTATGAACGGAATTTTTTGTTTAGAACATTAGTAAAAATTGTTGACAAAAAAGTTTAGTCATTCAAGTAACGTAGTTCAAGAACTTACAGTTAACTTCGTAAAATTTACAGTAACCATCATTAGTATAACATTAAAGATATGCAAGTACGAGCACATCAAAAAACTCAAAATCATATTCGAATTAACAAAAGTGTAAAGGTATCAGCCCAAGTATAATGATGATTAATATACAATACTAATACTGACGGAGTCATCAATAAGTGTCAATATCTCAATACCATGCTCGGAAACGAGCAAAAACGTCAACATTATGTTAAGTACAGCATTGAGAATACGAAAATTACAATACTGACCAGCATTAAGTCACCAATGCAACCGATATATGTTGCTAGTAAGACCGAAACATTATAACTACAGAAGCAACATTTGATACAAAACAGCCCGTTGCATAGTTGATCTTATTAGTCAGCTACGATCATAGTCTATAGTAAGAAATAGAAAATAGCAATCAGCCTGATTTTATCAGTCATCTAGGCGATAAACAGCAATTGCAGATAGTCAACTTTTTTACCTCAAGGTATAAATTTATTCTGGTTACTCATGCCAATGTCGCCATCGTCAGAATCGTTAGATTCACAACTTTGTAGCCAAACTATGCGAGCCTCGTAAAATTGTATAACCAATTGTGGGTAAGCCTTGTTCATTTTCTCAGACGGCATAACAGAGATGTTGCTGCTATTCTTCCTACAAATTCGAATACATCATTTAGCAAAATCCATAATAATGAAATCGCAAAATTATGGAATGCTAAACCTACCATTTAACCATAAACCATAATTTGCCTTTCGACTTAGTTGCTCCTAAAATCTTCTCCGCTGTTGCTGTTATTGAAGCATCGGCTTCGTTTCCATTTCCTTTACC